ATTGTTCTTATTTATTATTGTTTATTAATAAAATTAATAATTTTTATCAGTTAACTTCATCAGAATTTTATTTGAATTCTTGCTACCTTTGCAAGAATTAACTTCTATATGATAATTCCAACTTCAGCTCCTTAAACTCTTGAAAACCATACAATGAACTACTATAAAAGATATCACTTACTCTTGTAGATATCTTGCCATCAAATGATATAGGCTTTAAGATAATGGAAATGAAAAAAATAACAAATTAACCCAACATATGGTGGGAATAAAGAATAGAAAACCATTTGTTACCTTAATGATCAAGAACTAAGCCAATGAAAATAGGTTAAAATATTTAAAAAATAAGAAAATAGTTTAAAGAATAAATTGTTCAACCATTTGCAAGTTGGAAATCTTTTCATAGTGGTTAAGGTGGCCCAACATTGGCTATTGAGAACATAAGGTGTACTTTCATTTTTTCTTTTTCTTTTTTTTAATTTAAATAAATGAAAGGGTAAGTTGGTAAAACCTCCTATAAAATTTTTTTATCATTGCGCTCCCTCTAAAGTTTTGTAAATGCAATCACCTCCCATGAACTTTTTGATGCAAGTAGACCCTCCGTTAGAATCTTCTAACAAAAAGCACAAAAATGTCCAAAATACCCATATAGTTGCTTTTGACCAAAATGTTTATTTTCCAAATTTTTTATTCATATCAATCACTACCCCAATTCCTTCTAATCTCATTTTCAGAATTGATGCGTTTTTCAAATTTGCCCTTCATATCAATTGCTCAAAGGTAAAATTACAACTTTAAACTCTCTTTTTTGTTGTTTATATTTTTATATATAAAGCAGTCTCAATAATAATTACATGGGTATTTTGGTCCTTTTCATGGTTCTTGTAAGAGGATTTTACAAAGGGGGTCTACTTGCAACTGTGTTAAGAAGTTTAGGGGAGGTGATTGTAATTACCAAACTTTAGGGGAGGTTTGGTCAATGGTCAAAAACTTCAAGAGAGGTTTCAGCAATTATCATGGTTTGTTTTATAATTATTGAACAAAAACAGGGATTTTTGTGCATTTTCCCTAACAAGCATTAAATGGGAATGTTAAATAACATTTTTGCCATCGACTTGAATTACAATTATGAACAAAAAGAATGGAGTTTTATGTCTCTTTCTATTAAGCATTAAATGAGAAAGAAGGGCCACTTCCAAGTATTAAATGAGAAAACAAAATTACATATTTACCACTACTCCTTGTCTGATTCAAACCTTAGATATAAGGTATTTTAGTCTAGTGAAAATTCCAAAGCCAACCTCATGTATTCATAATTTTATAGATAGTATAGATATACACATGAGAGAGGTTTAGGTCCCAAGCTAGACGAAGACTTTCCCCAAGGTTCTAGCTTCAGTGGTTTCAGGTAGGGATGTCAATTGGCCAGATTTGGTCCAATCCGATCTGGTCCAAACCAGGTCTATTGATACTTGTATTCTTATCTTCTTTCAATGGATAGAATATTGGTTTAATCCAACCCAATCCAATATAAATCCATTACGGATAGATGAAGTCCAATCCAATCCAATAAATACTTTGGACCATTAAGTCTGGATTATATTGGTCCAATTCAATATGTCTTATTGGTCTGTCCAATTCATCCAAGTTGATTTTGATTTGGATGGGGTCGAATCCTAAACCAGTCCTTTGAAACCCCTAATTTCAAGGTTATCTAGAGAGAATGCCTCTTAACTAAGTATTTGTATTGATGATAAACTGGCTAATATAATTCTGAAATCAAAACAAACCATCCTTCGACTAACTGAGTCATCCCTAGAACCTAAATGAGATAAACCCTTAGAATTGACTTTATTTATTATTATTTTCTTTTTGTTTGGTATTAGCATATCATTAGAGGGGATTAAAGGGGCCGGGAGAGCACAAAGGAGGATGCATGGGAGGTCTGTTGACTTTATCACATGAGAGCCTGCATTTATGTGGATTTAATTCCATACATTTTTTGAGGGATGCCAACTGACCATCTCAGCCACTTAAAATTGACTTAACCTCTAAATATATGTTTGGCATCAATGCTGCAGATACAACACCACTGCTGATGTTGGGTTGGAAGCACAGTTTTCTGAGAAAACAATGCTTTTTTTTGTTTGAAAATGTTGATGCTAGGTAGGACGTTTCTTGGAGTAACAACATTTTCTATTTGGTATACCAATGCTCCAGGTAACATTTTCAACACTGGTACCTATTATTTAGTGCCACATCATGTCCCTGTCACTACCACCTCATGTCCCTGTTGGTAGCAACAAGCTGCAGATCCAGGAAATGCCAAATTTGGCATTTCTCCAAATCACGCCTTCTCGATTTCTAAGGCGTGACTTGGAGAACCGTTTTTTTATGGAAAAATGATTCCAAACAAACAAACATTTTCTGGAATATCGTTTTTTTCCAATGTGGTGCTGATATGTCACCATTTTCTGGAGAAACGACAACGATGCCAAACAGGTGCTAGGTTTTTTGCAACACTTTGAAATGAACTAGAGATGACTGAATTGTTCATATTTCAATGTTAAAGCATTCTAAAATATCAAACATCGCATTGGCTATCTGCAAGTGGGTCAAAAAAATGTTAGATAAGGTCTAGTTTTGGTTCAAACATGGGTCGAGGAGAACCCAAATTTCTTTGAAAGTGGAGAAGAAGCGTCCTCAACCTGACCTGACATACACCCTGGAAACCGTTTAGGTAACTGGTTTGGTTTCATCCTAAAATTGCACCTGGGCCAAAAACCGTTGGCTTGGTTAGAGACCTACTAACCTGGGTGGTCGAACCATCGACCTGTCAACCCGGACAATGGTTTTGTCTGTTTTTATTTTAATTATTTTTTTTAAATCATAACATACTGTCCATTCGAACTGAACGATCAAACTGTTCAACCTAAGAACCGGTGGCCAAAACAATTCCCTGTCCGGTCTGATTTTTAAAACCTTGCTTGCACCCCTGATCATATCAAGTCCATTGTGCTCAAATTTGATTTATTAATCTTATCCATCGGATTACATTGGAGTCGGATCAGACTTGGATATCAGAATATCATAGGTCATTAATAAGATAAACAAAAAGTGATCCGAATATCATAGGTTAATATTCTGTATTGGACTGCTGACATGGCAAAGTTATATATGTGTGTATGTATGAATTTATGGATAAAGATAAGTAACTTTGTCCATTGACCAAACAATACAGAAATTTATTTCATGTCTTCCTCTACCCTAATACAGAAAGTATTCTGACATTTAACCCCTTAAGGGATCCCTAAATGTTAGTTTTCAAAGATTTTCAACCATCGATTAAGAAGAAAGATGCACAGCAAAGATTAATTAAAAGATAAAACTAGAAGCTAGTTTATGGGGAAAGAAAAGCATCTTCGTCAACCTAAATTAAAGAAACTTCAAGACTATGCTTTCTGAGAAAATTAATTAATGAAATTGGGAAAGAAAGTTTCTTGCGACTAGTAATTATGACTAATTTAAAGAACTGGCTAGTAAAGAGGGTCAATGGAAGCAATTCAGATCTCCTACCTAAAAGAGTCCACACCTTCCAATATGACACTATAGCTGTGCATTGGGAACATCTCCCCATGAATGATAACATGCAAATATGGGAGATGTATTCTCAACGTACTGATGTAGTGAAACATTGATAGGGTTCTTGTGAGTAAGAGATCCGAACTAGGATGGAAAGTTATCAAAATAGAGAAAGAGATACTTCTTGCAGTAGATGGAAGAAAGCTTTCAGTTTTGGAAGCATAATTATTTTTCCAATATGTTATCAGTTATAGAAATTTGTACTTGGTATTGAAAGAATTTTATTCTAATTTTCAATCAATTATACATGAGCTTTACCCATACAGGAAATCAATTATACATGAGTTATCAGAAGAGGGTTGAGATTAAGCTTTCAGAATTATTCAATTGATAAAAGATAAATCATCTACAGAGTGCTGGGAACTACTAAGATGAAATGGTTAGTTATGCTGTCTAAATTATTCAATTGGTTATGCTCATGATCAGAAATTAAACCGACTTATCTCAATGCTCTCTAATTTCAAATCTATAATGATTAAGGGAATGGGTTTTCTGAAACTAAAGAACTGCTATAACTTTACAAAAAACAAAAACTTTCAGTTCTTGATTTACCTTTTTAAGTATATAATGTCTCTCCTCATCAAAATTAGTGGGATTATTTCATTTGATTCCTAGAAATAACCAGTGATTGACGATTGGGTATTTTCCACTTTTCCACCGAATTTGAAAACCCTTTTGAAATCACTGAAATGGGAATCATTCATATTGACAAAAATCTCTTCTTTCCACCATTTCAGCAGATTTAAACTAATCTATTTTGGATCATGGAAGGAGTTAGAGAATTACAGAAGGAAAAAAAAATAAAAGAAAAAACCTCCCACAGGTGGAGTTGATCCTGCTCTATAGCTCATCCTCTCACTGCAGGTACAAGTCGAAATGACGACATGAATATCAAATAGATATAGCTATGTGTGCAGTAAATTAGCATGGCATCAAGGAAAGAGGCGTCACGTAGTCCCAATAAAGCCTAGTACTCATCACGGCATTCACTTCTATTCTTTTAACATGTTTCCAAGGGAGACACACTTCCAAAAGCAACTCAAGTTTTTTCTACAGTAAAAGAAACACATACGTACGTAGGTCATGGGTACATACAAGGTCAGATCAAGTGCGACAGCTTAATGAATAAAGCAAATGGGGGCCCACCGGATGAAAGGTTAGGATCAATTAGTTGGCTTGTCACATGTGGGTAGGGGCCCATATTGATAATGGATCTTGGGTCTATTCTAGAACACTATGTCAGCCAATGCTCTGGCCTTAATTTCTTCCCAAGTTTGGCGATATCTTGAGGTCAATTACCGGTTGACTTGTACCACTTCAGCCAAAAAAGAAGAGGAAGAAGAAAAGAAGAAAGAAGGTTGATGGGTAACTCAGTAATCTATTTTGGATCATGGAAGGAGTTAGAATGGTTGATGGGTAGCGAAAGCGCTGTTCTCAACACGAACAATTGAAAAATATACGTGCATCACACGTATATTTGACTCTCTCTCTCTCTCTCTCTTTCTCTCTCTGTAATAAATAAGCTAAATTCATGCATATATGGTCTTCAATCGAGAAAAGATGCATAGTTTTATATGGAAATGTTGTTCAGAGAAAGGGTAATAGTCTTCTTCTCGAAGATGAAGTTGTCATGGATGATACTGAATTCTGTGTTCTGTGACTTTGTCTCATTTTCCGATAAACGTCAGATCTTCGTCATTTATTGATTCAAACAGGGAAAAAAAGAAAGAAAACCCACAAGTTAAGAAGGCTCTCTCTCTCTCTCTGTCCACAAACCGATGTATTCAACTGTTGATGTTGGTTTTTCAAAAGCTACATCTGTACTGTGACTCTGAGAGAAAACTAATAGCCTTCGACATCTTACAAGCCTCATTATCTCTCTCTCTCTCTCTCTCTCTCTTAGAGTTGGGATGGCATCATCATCAGAGACAGAGTACACAAACACATGGTTCATGAGTCTATGAGTCGTCATGAGATGAACATGGAGGAAACCCAGAATCTGATAAGCGAGAAACTCGCTTGTTTTATCGTTAAAATCTATCTATGGCATCTTTTTCATTCATTGACCCCTCCACATGTCCCGCCAGCTTTGGAGGCTTTAATGCTCCCCAGTCAACATCTCATAATAAAACAAAGACAAAATAAATTCAACAGTTACGTTTCCATATCCCATGGTCATCTTCACACCTTCATTGGAAGCTCAACATCTCGTAGCTAAAAAGAAAAAAAAAAAAAAAAACAAGTTTAACGTCTGAGAGTGGAAAGCAGTAAATTAAAATGCACTAACAATCAAAATTCAAAATCTGGACAGGAATAAACTAAATATGCAAAGAAAATCAAATGCATCAAATATCATGTTTAAGGACAATAAAAGCTTACCCACCAACAGTTTAATCAACATCACATCCTTGGTATCGTCTGGTCATCATCAATGTTCTTTCACCTGGTGACCTTTCCTTCAATTGCTGGCATCATAGATCAGAGGTAGTGGTGTGTTTTCTCACTGGCTAGTTGAGTGTAAGAACTAAGATGACATGTGTATGCCTGGGAGAGAGAATTCAGTCTAGCTTTTACCTTGGTTTGGTGATAACTGGGTAAATAAGAAAAGCTGATAAACACAAACAGGCTAAAAGAATAGAGATACTGTTTATAAACACTAGAAGCATAGAGATCTAGCCTAGTATGCAGGGAGTTTCAGTCTATTAGGTTTTACAGAAGCGTACATCCTGTCAACATGAATGAACATTTGAGTCATGCATCAAAGTGAAAATCATAACTTAGATTCTAATACGCAAACAGTAAACGCTTTGAAGTTTGAAGAAACGGGGTGTTCGTTTCTCAAACAAGCACACACAGACACACATGCAGAGTAGCAGGCATATAATCCAGAAGAAAGAAACAAACAAGCCCGTAAAACGATCTGCATAGAAAGTCAATGGCCATTAGTGATCTTGTTAGTATTCTCAGCTTCTATTCAGAAAAAAAAAATTCCATGCAAAGTCCAGAAACAAAAGAAAATACAATAAATTCACAAAAAAAAAAAGAAACTAAACTTGTGTTTGTGTGTGGAGAGAGAGAGAGAGAGAGAGAGAGAGGTTATCAGTTCTCGCCTTGAGAAAGAATGAGTACTGAGATGAGAAGAGAAGAGAGCATATGTTGGTTGAGGGGAATGAAGCCTGGTCCGAGGTCACTTAGGCGTTGAATCCAAACTTTCCTTACAACTCTAAACGTAAAACAGGAAAATCTACAAAATCACCTACGTGACCTCGAGCCAGACAACATTCCCCTCAACCTAACCTAAACGAAACGTCTCTAGTAACTCTGCTTGCACCACCATGACTAAGCTGATGAATTTGCAGAAGAGCTAGTAGCATCACCAACGTTAACATGGTTGAGGGGAATGAAGCCTGGTCCGACGCCTTCACTTCTCTCCTCATACCAGAGCTAACCTGAAAGCCTCGAGCCAGCCAACATTCCCCTCAACAACACAGACAACAACCAGAACCACAGTTTTCCCCATCTAAAACCCTAACCCATAAAGCTTTATAGACTCACAGAGAGAGAGAGAGAGAGAGTGAGAGAGAGAGAGAGAGGACCATGGAGACTTGGAGAGAAAGGAAGGGTTGAGGCCTCGTTTTGAAGGCGTCTTCACAGAATGAACCAAGTGGGATTTAATGAGGAGTGCCTTAATTTAGACTCTTAAAAATAGCTTACCAAAACTAACCTAAACCCTAAGCACCGTACGCACCCCCCAAACCCCACCTGAATGTTTTCTTTCATTTCCCAGGTCGTCATCTTCAGCAGCTAACCGCACCACCTGTTGCTGCCGGTCAACCACCGACCTGTTACCTGCTACCCCCCGTTACAAAATTACATTCACACTTACAAACACACAACCAGACAAACCGAAAAGTTGGAAAAACAGCTCATGACCCATCTTTATTTATTATTCATTCTATCATCATTACCTTATTATTTTTAGCCTTACTTAACTCTGTACGGTTGACCATCTTTATTTTCATGCATTTTAATTTTTTTTTCTTTTTCAGCCTCCTCTATTTTTCTATTATCCTTAAAACCTCATACTATGGCTGATGGGTTCTTTCCCTTTAACCCCAAAATGGCCAAAATGGTAGAGGACCAGCTATGGATCTCAACTCTCAAGTCTCTAAGACAAATTATTACCAAAATTAGAATTCCATATCAATATTGTATAAGTAAATGTGAGGTGCAATAGAATATTTATTTTTTGGGGTACTAATAAAATAATTAGGCTATTTATATTATATAATGAAATGATTCTCCTTGACTTTTGTGTTCTGTCCAAACGTTTATCTAGATCCTTATGCTATATAGGATCAAATTAAAATATTGTGGTGTAGGTCTAACTTTTATTTTCTTAGTCTTTTTAATGAGCACGCATAGGCTCACTAGATACTAATACCTTTGTGTTTGGACCCTTCTGCATTGTTTGGGTTTGAATCAAGAAATGGAATTTCTTGAAATGCAACTATTACAGTAAGACCTTGGTGATGACCAGCCAATGTTCAGTTCTTATTGGCTTGAGAGTTTAGTAAAATTAGTAGTTCAAATTTCAAACAATGGAAGTGCTCTAATTAATCCCATTCTCTAAACCATACTCAAATGATAAAAAGGAAATATTTTCCTCTCTTTTTAAAATATTCTATCTTGATATGAAAAATAGGGTTTAAATTGTTTTTGATAAATAAAGATTAGCATTAAATATGATATTTATTTCAGGGGCAAAGCTATAACATAAAATCATGGGAGAATAAACTACTATGCTAATAATTAAGGTCATATCTAATGTGCTATCTTCTAATAAAAGGCACAAAAAAAAAAATAAAACATGTTGAGGAGGATTGATTTTTGATGAACAGAATTATCATTGAGATAATAGAAAGCAATTATTAGGAAAAGTTATTTGTTGCAAATTGAATGGTCTAGAAAAGCTAGGGGCATACCAAGAAGGACTTGAGTGGAAGTAATAACAAAAGATTTAAGCACCCATAATGTAAAGATAGATATGATACTGAAATAGAATGACGGAACGGGATTCCATATGGTTGGGACAAGGCTTAGATGATGACAATGATGATAATAGGAAGCAACTAATTGTTTCTATCTGCATTTTATATAAGGTAATTAAGTAGGCAATTGCATACATATTTTAAATCTTGTGCACCATATTCCTACCAATAACCATACTTCTTCATTTATTGGCCACTTATTTTAGCTATACGAAAGGATAATGTGGTCCATACCAATCTTAAGTGAGATAAGGAAACCTCTAGATTGACCAATCATGCAATGCCGTCCTATATTCTTCCTAGACTTGGCAATTGGGTTGGGTGGGTCGGGTTTGGGTTGGGTCAAGGTACTTTGGGTTGATTTCAGGTCAGGTTGAAATTTTGGATTGGGTTGTCAAATGCTAGATTCTAACCCTAAATGTTCGGGTTAGGGTTGACTCATGGGTCAATTCGGGTCATCCAAAAAATAATTGAAATTTAAAAAAATAAAGAAAAATTACATGAAAAATGTCAAAATTAAAAGAATTAACCCTAAAATTCCAAATAAAAATAAAAAACTTGAACATTTTACAATTTAAAGAGTAAATAATAAAAAGTAAAGACTAAATAGAAAAAATTAAAGAGTGGAAACTTCTAACAATACATAAATAATCCCAACTAGACTTGACAATCGGGTCAACGGGTTGACCCATGACCCATCCCAACCCAGTTTTTTTTGGGTTGGGTCGAGTTGGGTCATTTTCGCATTCGGGTAACTAAATATGAGACCCTAACCCTATTTTTTCGGGTTGGGTGAACTTTTTGCCAGGTCTAATTCTTCCCCCTTGCCTAAATTATCTAAATGTTACATCAACTTTATATATATATATATTAACCTTCCCCAACCCCAAGCCCAAATGATATTATGATTCATTTGCTCAAATTTTCGGAAAAAAAAAACAACAAATTTTCCTATTCCCTAAATTTTTGAACCAATGAGTAATGAAACACGACTAGGGGTGTTCATTTAGTCAGTTCGGTTTGGTTTGGTTTAGAAATAGAACCTAATCGACATTTTGGTCAGGTTATTTTCATGAAATGAACTGAACTAAATCTAAATCGGTTCGGTTCGGTTTTAATTCAGTTAATTTGGTTATTTAAGATATAAATGCATTTTATATTTATATTAATAACTATTGTTAAAATATATCATCATTTTATACTTAAAATAGATATTATATATTATTATTAATATAAATAGTAATGTTGATATTAATATACATATTTATCATTAAAAATATAAATATATACATTTCTTTTGATTAATTCAGTTTTGGTTCGGTTTGGTTGATTTTTTTTTTCTCAAATCAAATAAAAAACCGAAAACCAAAATTTCTAAAATCTTAAATCCATACCAAACCAAAAACCGAAATAACGGTTTGACAACCGAATTTGAACACCCTTAAACATGACAGCCAGGGTTAATCGGAAAACACATTTTCGCTGTCATCAGTCCTTTTTTCCATAAAATATTGCAAATGCGTACCTCAGAAAAATTATATTGGTTTTTTGCTAATGTGACAGTTATTTTTGTTTCCATAAACAAACCATATACAATGAGGAAAAACCCCTAAATGTGCAAAATTTTATTAAATGAAAATTCAAAATTTAGGTCCTCTTTGGTCATTTCCACTCAATTATTGAGCCAATTCGTGGACTGGTCCCAACCAAACTCTAAGCTTAATAGCATGATCCAATGATCCATGTGGACTTTCGTTTGGGCTAGTCTTGATTTATGAGTATTTTTCTCATTTAAGAATTTCAATTTTATTACCAAAAAAGAATTTCTTTCAATTTTATTTTATTTTACTTAATTTTATTCTTTTCCGCCCGCGCTCCCCTCTTTGTTCCAACCATTCTTGTTTGGGTGAGATCTGCCCAGGTAACAGGGCCTTCCGTGAAACACGTCTAGGGGAAAACGGCGATTAAGGAAGGATAGATCCTGGCCGTCGGAAAACAACATATAGACGGTGAGATGTAGAGGGTTCGGAGACCGGTAGTGTCGGTGTCAGCGGGAGCGGAGGATCGGGAAACGAGGAGAGCCCGAGTAACGAGGGGAACGATTTAATCGCCGACGTGGACGCTTCGAAACCTCTCCACTGCCACTCTCTCGATTTCCATTTAATTTGACAGCCTTGCGACGCGAGTCAAACCGGTCGCTGCATCGATCTTCACACTCGATCAGATCGACGGCCCAGATTCCCTTCTTATCGTACTCCCCAGGCACCGCCACGTGCTCGAATTTAATGCTGGGAGTACGGCCCCAGTCCTCCCTCCGCCCGGTTCCCGACCTTGAATGTCCATGGTTGTGGGTCCCACTCCTGGGAGACAGACCCACGTGGAGTCCTTTGCGGTTGACAGCATCGCTACGCGTCAGGAGGCCATTGGTTGGTAGCTGCTGTAGATCGCGTTTGGCAATTATACGTTAATGATGACGGGAGATTAAGCACGCGAGAACGAAGAGGGCGGTTTTTTCGGAGCGGCGAGAAGCTTTTGTCGGGTTCGGGGCGAGTCCCGACAACTGCGAGAAACCGCAAATTTCTCCCGCATCACGAGAATTTGGGTTTGGTACGAACAGTTACATGGGGAATCGTCTGCAGTCAGCCACTTCGAGTGACTAGTGCCCAAGCATGGCTGATAACCGACCGGGTTGGCCGGATTGGGTCACTTCTCAGACAAGACGGGTTAGTACGGCCCCGTCGGGTTCAATCAACAGTCCAGAGATGAGGTCTTGAGGAAGCCTGGCCAAAGAGCAGAATAACCCTGCAAATCCATCGGGTTCATGGGTCGAGTCAAGGACACACCAGAGCAAACCGTTTACCTGATAGGGCTTGTCACTTGTCAGTAAGTGGGCCACCTTCCAACGATGAGCGTCCAATTAACCTGATTGATGGGATTGATTTATGGATATAATATGGACGGGTTGGTGGGCCATACCGGATGAGGAGGTAGTCTATTTGGGGTAATGGGCCTCTGAACTCTGATCCATGGTATGTGCATAATTTCACAATTAGGTGAGATGTGGGTCCCAATACTAAAAGGTGGCAGTCAACGGTCACCGTTTCTGCAGTGGGGAGTGAGTGGGACCATTCATTTCCACACAAAAAAGGTGAACTTTTATGCCAATAATGGGCTCCATCCCATTTAATGAAATGCAACCACCTGATCTGTCACATTAATTTCTGATTCCCTCCTCCATTAACACACTGAGATATTTATTTAATATATTGCGAAATAAAGAAGCCCTTCAATCTGGTTGGTGTAATGCTATAATCATTTGGGTATTGATTGTTTCATCATGGAAGATCTCCGTTGCAAGTAGTGGGAATCGGTTATAGAAGCCCATGACTTGCAGTACCACGTCCTAGCTGATGGATGATGGTCTCTAAGGGCCCACCACAGAAGACACCCACCATTCTGTGGGCCCCAGTTCATTTGGAAATTTCCTAGATCAAGAGTAATGTTGATCAGATGTTCCAAGAGGAGCTGTCAAAGACTTGCTGCTTGATCATTAAGCATCCAATTGGTTGACTTTGGACCTAGAAGATTTCTTTCGTGGAACATACAACATGTATACTAGTGAGGTGTTTCTTCTAATTTTAGAGTTCTCAATGGTTTTCGGGTAAGATGGACAAAATGAAACACTATACAACAAGCAATGCTACAAGGGTAAGATAGAGAAACTGATTTTATGTTGTGTTCTTTCGGGGCTCGAAGCAAGGTTCAAAATATTGCAATGTATCAATGCATGTTGTATGATGTGTCTTGGTTTTCGAACTCACCGAAATGCGAGACTGAAAAAATAAAGAGTATCACCCCTTTGAAACGCGCAATATCAATTGCTGTGTATCATGCAGGTCAATCAATACTCTGAAGTCTGAACCATCGTTTCAAGCCCATACATAGTGTTAAACATGGATGGTGCCCATGGGCATGGGCCAGGTTAGCGCAGTCTCAACTAGCAGCAGTATGCCCTATTGATGGTTCGGACAATTGGCCTAGGTTTGGAGCCAAACATACAAATAATCCACACCAAAGCCTTAAGTTCAAGTGTTCAACTGACAAGAGACAACCAAGCCATCACGGTTTGATTTACAGTTAATCAGTAAATGCACCATTATTTGTGCGTATCTACCGCCCAGACCCAGAGCTTTGGACCATGCTCTTTGCTGTAGGGATCCATGGGTTGGCGTAGGATGTGTCAACTTAGCCATGTACATCCTCTGCTGCCTTAGTTTGTCCTATGTACATACACGGCTAAGTTAAATTTGTCCAGTCACTGAGGACCATGGCCAGGATGGGCCACTTCATATCATGTCATCACTGCATCCTGTCCTCAGTACATTTTTGTACACAATTTGTCCCAGTTTCTAAGGTCTAGAACGGGCCTAGGATGAGCTGATCAGGCCTACACGTATCCCTACACAAGTAACAACTCCCTGACAACAAGAGAAAATTGTTGAAATTTTACACATGAGAGACCTGTTCTCTAGGATGGCATATCAGCCCTAACAGACTCCAATGACTGATCCAAACAAATTGCATGAAGGATGAAACAGCTTCATTTGGGAGAACAGTCCTCTTATATGGCCCGGGCAACCAAGGCTCAAGGGTTTCCCATGGCTCTTAGGGAGGCCTCTAGGTTTAATCAATAGAATCCTCTTATCTTCCATAATATCATACTGAAAAGAATATATAAAAAAGAGTACCATACGTTAGAAACACATGAACACACCACCAGATCAAATATGGCCCAGAAGAGCTTATGGGCAAAGAAGTTAGTGATCCAAAATTAGGGTTGGCATATAGCATACTGGATTCAATGTACATTTTAGATAGATGCTCAGATAAGCCATCATCTATCAAGACTAACAGTAAAACCCTTCTTCAACCATCATCATCGTCATCGTCATCATTTGATTGGTATTGATGCATTAATTGATATAGTATGATTCAAAGTTGACTCATCAGGTATATCCCCCATCTTCTACAGCAGTGCTAAGCTTCTTCAGATTCCACATAATTTCAAGCTTAACCATGGATTATTCTTTTGAACTTCTTCAATTTGTAGTTGCTTATATGCTATTTACAAAATTTATGAAACACTCGGTAACCATCCTGCATCATTCAGATCAGGGCAAATGCATCATTCCTAGTGGAACTGAAAGAGATTGCTTCTGGTTAAGAGGCTCTCAGGCCCCCTGGCCCTTGCACTTAATGTAAATTGTGCTTGAGTTGTAAATGTATCAACTTTCAAAGTTGGGCTTTTCAGGCCAATGAAGCCCCAAATGGGAGTTAGAATTCTTCATTCTAAGGGCCAGAACCCAGAGAAGCTGGAATACCCAGAACCAACTCGCCTCTACCTGCAACCAAATTCTCCATCAGGTAAGCTGCTTGATAGAAGCATGACTTGCATATACCACTCCCCAGCAATATCCAACCCAGATCCCCAAATTATGGTAACCCTGTCCATTCTGCATTAAGTGAACCTCTATATTGAAATCTATAACTCCTTTACCAGAGTTCAATACAGAATTTGGATAGTTCCATGCTAACCGAAGTATTGTCAATAACAGTGAGGCAATACTGGAAGTAAGCCTATGAAAGAGAAAGATCAGAGTGTATGAACAAGATGAGTGAAGGAAAATTAAGGATCAAATTGATTAGCTTCGAGATGTATAGGAGGAAGTTTGGTGCAGGAATTTGTAGTTATCAGGTATAGAAAAAATGTAGCATTTTTTACAATTAAAGACAAGTTGTTCAACCCTTTTGTTCATGCATATAAGAAAAGCTTGAGCTTAAAAAAACAAACTATTACTTTCCATGGACAGAATTTGCAAAAGCTAGAGTAACTTTTCTTGTCTTCCAGAATTACACCAAACTTGCCCTGTTTATTGTTTGATTAGACTATAAGATCATTACAGAGTTCAAGATCTCACTGAATGAAAGTATTCAGCATTTTAGCTAAGGAATGTTGTTCTTCTCTAGATGATCAACCTAGGCAGTCGAAATAACAGTAGTATGTCATCAGAACGGTCCATGTGTTTATTCTCCTAGTCCCCAAAAGTTCTACCACTAACATTTGACAATTTGAAAGTTCAATTGCAAAGTCTAAAAATTGCAGACAAGCAGGTTTAACTTGACGACATGGCAGGGACTTTTACTACTACTACTACTCCCTCACAGAAACAAGCTAAACTTTGATGGAAGTTCAAGTGGCAATCCAGGCCCCTCAGGTGTTGGTTGTGCATTTAGAGCAAGTGAAGGAATAATCATTGCATTGTACTCCGGCCCCATGGGTGTAGGAGATTCTGTAAGAGAAGAAGTATTGGCTTTATTACAAGGATTGTGACTAGCAAAGGAACTGGGATTCAGGCAGAATGAAGTGGAAGGAGACTCTAAGATGGTTGTGAGTTGGATGCACAGATGGGAAATTTGTGAATTTGAAATTATAAGCAAATCATGAGGGAGGTGAGGTGTTTAGCAAGGGACGCTGGTATTAGATTGAAATGGGTCAGAAGAACAGCAAAGGGATTAGCTGATTCTTTAACCAAACAAGGGGTAAAAAGGGATTTCTTAATCTGGGCAGTTGTATAACGTTTTTATTTTTTGGGGTTCCATACCCATTTCTGTTTATAGGCCCTGCATCTCTTGTAATCCTGCTTTATTTCATTTAATAAAAGATACTGTTTCTTATCCAAAAAAAAGGTTACTTCTGTAAATAAAATTGAGGTGTTTAATATTATCCAAGTCTAGCTTTAGTGAATAGTTATTGGACCACCAAAGCATGTTTCTGGTAGTTGGAGAAACTACTGAACGACTTATTCTTTTCTTTCTTTCTCTGGAGAAAGTTTACCAATACTAGTTGTGCTAAAACCATATGGAGGAAAATTGCTACCATTAGAAGATATAAAACGTTGTACAGAACTATGGATCGAGATGCCTTACTATAAAATATGAATAAAAAATTAGGGGGATGAAAGAGGAACTCATTATCTATTGAAGGGAGAACCACTCTAATCAATGCATCCATTGCAATGATGCCTCAGTTTATTATGAGAGTTTTTAAGCTCCCAAAGAATGTAATAGAGATGGTTGAGAAAAAAACAAAGGAGCTTCCTTTGGGGTAAGAGAGATACTAGAGCAATTAGTCTTGTAAAGTGGGACACGGTGTGTAGATCTAAAACTAATGGAGGATGGGGAATCAAAGATTTACACAAGGTGAATGTGGCATTGCAAAGCTGGGTTGGAAGATTCTCACACAACCAAATAATCTTTGGGTCCAGGTAATTAAGTGTAAATAGCTCAAAAAGGAGGATTTCTGGCAAGAAAAAACAAGGAAAAATATTTCCTGGGCTTGGAGGGGTATTTTGGGTTGCGGAGAAATCCTAAAAAAAGGTATGGGATGGAGATTAGGAAATGGTGAATATATAAATTTTTGGAGAGATTCCTGGGTTGGCGACATACCCCTTAGTGAATCTCTGAGAACTGAGGAGCACAACTACACCTGGAAGGTCAGTGAATTCATTCTCAAGGATCTGAGAACTTGGGACCAAGAGAAACTGTTGGAAATGGTCCCAGCTGAGATATGGGAGAAGATAAGAGCGATACCAATCCCATCATCAGATGAGGATGATAGATTGGTATGGAGACTGGACCCTAAAGGTCGTTTCTCCATCAGATCTGTGTATTCGGTCTAAGAAAATAATGATGGTACATCTATTAATGGGGATAGGATCAATAGGGTATGGAGGATAAATTGCCCCCAAAAAATTAAACTTTTCCTGTTCTTGGCTATCAGAAATGAGCTTCTAACAAGGTATAGACTTAAGAATTGGGGAGTGAGAGGAGATGCGGATTGCCCAGTCTGTGGAGAAGAGGAAAATATCCAACATCTGTTTCTTCATTGTGAAGTTGTATCTGGAGAAACTAGTCAATGGTCAACTAGCCCCTTCAGAGAATGAAGAGTTTAACAACTGGTGGGATTGAGTTCTCATTGACAGGCTGAAAAAGTCTCAACATTTGATAGTTGAGCTCACAAGCACTATTTTATGGAACATCTGGAAAAACAGAAACTGGAGAATATTCAATGACAGAAATATTTCTCCTCATCCATAACTGGCCAAAGCTGAAATGGAGTGCAAGGATTTCATCATTGCCTCGGATAATCTAAACCTTGCCACTCATACTAAGGTTGTCGAGTTGCAGATTTGGTGGGTGAAGCCAAGACATGATGAGCCCAAGATAAATTTTGATGTGTCAAGGAATGGTAACAGAAAGTGTGCAGTTGGGGTGATTGTTTGTGACTTGTTTGGTATTGTGAGGTGGGTGCAGTGCAAAGACATTGGGAGTTGCTCGATAAATGAAGCAGAAGCCTGGGCAGCCCTCAAAGTGCATAAATGGTGGCTATTTGGTTTTCTCACACAAGGTGATTCCAAAATTATTATCAATGGTCTCACTGGCAGCAAAGACCCCCCTTGGAAGGTGAAAGACCTCTTGTCTGAGTGCTGTAGAATCTGTCAGCCAAACGATCTTTCAGTGTCTTATAATCACATCCTTCATAAAGCAAACTTTTCTGCAGAAGGTTGGCCAGTTTGGGTCACGAGATGAGAGTCTCCTGTGACCAGTTTCTTGACTTCAGATTATCTTTTATTTGTTTTTTTGATGCGTGGGGTCATCTAACCCCACATCATTGTAGTTTCTAGTTGGCTGAGGTTACTTTTGGTTGTTTCTAGTTCCCATCTTATCAAAAAAAAAAAATAGAAAAAAAAACCATTCAGGAAAGGATCTGTTTCTAAGCAGAAAAGTTCCCTGTATCCCAGATCAAGCAAGCCCATCAACCATACAGTTTTGTCCCGGGGAATCCATCTGATCTGAACAGTTGGACATTTCCAATTACATGTTTTGCCACTTGAAAATTTTAAATTACCATCTATATACAAACAACTAAAGTGTAGTAGATTAAATCAATTGGACAAGAATGATAAATGAAGGGTTAAGTAAATTTGCCAATATGTGAATGTAATGAGGATTGAGAAAGAAGTGAAACAATAGTATCCGAGGAAGGTGACATAAAACAAATGAATATTAATATCATAATTTCATGATCTGAGTTATAAAACACATGCAGCAAGTTGGGTGCATTTCAAAAGAAGATAGCATGTTTATACAGTGAATGGCAAAGAATATGGAACCAATTTTTTCAAGAAAGCAAGGTAATGAAGCCTTACCTCCTAATGAATTGTAGTTTTAAACAAAATAACCAAGAAACAGGCTCTGTTCAGGTTTTATGTGGGAAAACTTTCTCCTCCAAGAAATTGATAAGGCGTTCATGGTACTGCTTGGGTTCAATAACAGATATTGATAGAGGATCAGAGTGTAGTAGTGACTTGCATGCATGCTCAATTTTCTTTTTCATGTTGTATTCCTGCAATATATCAATAATGCCAAGATAAAGAACAACATCATAAACCTCAAAGAGCTCAGCCTCCGTAGAGTCAGCTTCAGCATGTGGAAGCTTGCGATTAGCTTGAGCTGGCATGTGTACTCCTAATTGCACTGTCAACCTGAAGAAACAGAAAAAGATGGAAATCAAACAAAAACCAATGAGTGGATGGTTCAAGATTATGGTCAGCCACACTAGAGCTTAGCATGGTCTTGGTGTAAACTGTAGGCTAAAGGGAGGAACAATGCTGTAGTCAATTATGTTAATGAAAGATATCAATATAGCCTAGCAAATTTATGAAGCAATGGACAGGCTAATCCAGAGATGGTTGACAGGTTTTAATTTCAAAAAAATTGTTCAGGTTCAACAAGTAAATGGGGAAGGTGTACAGTGTACTAATTCAAACACGAACTCTATCAGGAATACAGCCTTAAGAAATTTAACATATTCATAATTTCAGGATTCGTTCCTTTATTTATTTATTTAATTTTTGACTTATCCAGACAAAGACCATTATAAAATCCTTAAGTATTTTATATCAAGAACTAATTAGGCCAGCCCAAAGCAGGTATACATCAGGAAGCCTCACTCAGATGGTAAGATGATAGATTTGAGTCTCCAAAGAAAGATGTTGTTAATATCTTTGTCTCAACTAACACCCATGCAATTTAGTATTTTTGAACACAGAAAACCAAAAAGACTTCTTTGTCAACATGCAATGCTTGTTATAGAAATTTTAGTTGGTTAAATATCATCTTGGCTTTGTCATCGGTTGAAAATCAAGAAAAGCTGAAGATGCACTCATTGTCCTTGATGTTCAATGTTTTATAACAGTAAAGAGTTTCATCAGCATAAATCCAGAACACATGCAATTTATCCTTCTACTATAAATGAAAAATAAACAGCATATACCTTCCAGTACCAGGAAGAAAAAGATCAACTTCCTTATTGCCTGCAGATGATACTCTCAATGGATTTCCTCTACTGTGAGGACCTGGTGGAATGCTAACTCCAGGTTCATGTGTCACAAGAAGCAGACCCTTAGATGGGATCAAGAGTTCCCCATGTGAAGATGTACCTAGAATAGCCAGAATGAAAGAAAAGGTCCAACTTATCACCAATGGAAATACACTATTGGTTAAAGATTTAAAATGTTTGAGTTCACAACCATAATATCAAGGCAATGATATACAATGTGGTACTTGTCTTAGCCTTTTGTCATTTTGATCAGTAACAATAATTAAAAAATGCATTTGCTAAAGAAAAAATTGAATAGAACCTCATATTGAAAATGATTCAGTTGTATGGATCAGATAGAGCTAAAGCTGATCAAATAAGATAAAACCACAAAGTACTAAATGTAAAATGAAACACCAGATTCATGGCCGAACCCCTGGGATGAGGCCCACCAAACTATGGCTTCCAATAAAATTTCTAGCTGGCTGGTCAGCCATGCCGCATTAACTGATCCAGGAGTGGTACATAAATGAGCTATTTATTCTAGATTCCAGTGCCCTAGCATTTCTAAAGGCCATTTGGCTAAAGCTAAAGAGGCTGAACATTGACATTGTTTTGTCTTTTAGTGTCCACAAGGTTGTTTTCAATCTTAAGTTATAATATTGCATTGTTTTTCAGTTGTCTATTCGACAAGACCAGATCTTAGAGACTGATTTAGGTCAGGAAAGTGATGGTCATTTCAATGACACAACATATGGAAAGTACTAGTCAAGTTAAGTATGACTTAAGGTTCTTTTTGAGACTTGATTTAGGTAGGAAAGAAAGCTGGAGAATCCCTCTTCCTAGAGTCTATAAATATGCTGTTAAAAGGCTGTTTGTAAGTTGTTTTTTTTTTTTTTTATTTCTGTTAGTGTTGTAGACTCAAACTTGAACTCAACCAACATACTTTTTTTGTATTAATAAAAAAAAAAGAGAAGAAATAAATTTTCAAATGATTCACTTGGAAATTTATATAAAATAATTAAATAACTATGATATAGCTCAGGTGGGATATCCATTATATGCCTGGTATTTTACCTATACAACATGACAAATAGAACCAAGGATAAATAAAAGTACACAAAGAGAAGATATTTATATTGAAAAGGGATATCTACCATCACCGGCTAGTGAACTTTCATGGTCCAATACATCTGCAGATCCTAATGGGGCCTTCAAATGCTCAGGAGCCCTAAAATGCAGTCCCAGTAGGAGGCTGTAATCAATTATGCATTGAGATTCTAGAAACGTGCAGTCTAGAGAAATTTGTCTGCACATAAATCAATTATATTGACAATAGATGTCAGGTTCAATCATATAAAGTTTAAAATGGGCATTCAAAAATAAAAATTTTTCATCAAATAATTCAACTTTGAACAGTAAAACTATATAGCTGGGCTAGCTAAACAAGGGGTAATTCAAGAAAATTGTATTGTGGATTGAGAACTCTAGGGTGAAAGGCTCATTATGCATAGTTGACATAAAGATGGATAGCCAAGGCTAGCTACTATAGTGGGTGTAAAAAATTCCTGCTGTAAATGTTTATGTTCTTTTTGATAAGATTAGCAGTTACAGATAAAAAAAAGTCATGGAACATTGACTATATATTTGTGTATATTTTGTTATTTTTCCATATATATTTATACACACATGCATTCATACATGTATTGTAAATCAAGGACCACCTTAGCCTCTTGCACATGACTTTATTTGCATATTAATAAAACACCTTTTGTCATTACTGCTCAGAGAACAAAAAGGAAGAGCAGAAGAAGTGATCATCAAGCGAAGAAATACAATCTTCAGTGCTGCATATAAGAAATAATTATAATAACCTAAAAAGGATTAGTAATAATGCTAGGTGAAAAGGTAACACTTTTTATATGGAAAAATGTACATCTTTCCTTCAACTGATTTTTCTGTTATGAATAGAAAATCTATGTTTACCATTTTAATTATTCTGTAACTGTTGCAGTACAGTCATTGGTGGCGGCATTCTATGCTTAGATAATAGCATAGTCATAAAAGCATTAATTCCAATATATTCTAAGATTTCCAGCAAAGCTGGACATTCAAATTTCATGCAGTTATATCACATTCTTGGCACTTCTTTGTCAGTATAATATCAGTCTGCAATTGAATTTACTGGCTTAAAAGCACATACAAAGCATGAATATAACACATAGAATACCCTTTTATGCAACAGTGCAAACAAAGTAAACTGCCCATAACCTGTGCCAAAAGTAGGCAAAGTTTTCAACATTATTTTAAGCTTCTGAACAAGTAAACAATATCCAACATGAACATACATACTTTCAAGGCTCAGGTGAACATGCAAATATGGAGCTCATTTCACCAGTTTAGGCTTGGGACCCCTATTTATACTATTCCCCTTTATTACCTCTTTAACCATTATTCTAGAATGTTCTAGCACTAAGTCGGTGCAAATGGCTCTAATCAAATGGACCCTAGGATGGATCAGTGTGGTTTGGTTTGAGTTTACACTTCGCATCGTTTTTTTATTTTTTTTATAATTCCATGGTTTTACAGGTAGAGATAGAATCTCCATTTTTAATTGTTCTCATGCCCCTATGGATGGTAAAAGCACTGTTAAAGTGTTAGATACCACTACCCTTTCTTCTGTGTTGCATGTTCCCAGACTACATACTAACCTTTTATCTATTAGTAGTTTAACAAAGAATTTGGATTGTTCAGTAACGTTTCTTCCTGATCATTGTGTTTTCCATGATCTGGAGTCAAGAAGGATGATTGGGAGTGGTCGAGAGGTGAACGAGATCTAACTTATAGATGTGCTGCCCGTCCAACTATTAGAGTCATCACATGAGCAGTAGTAGTATGGTATCTTTACCCCTTTTAATCCTCACTGCACATTATTGTTTGTATTAATGAAATGATTCCTTGTTATCTATCAAAATAAATAAATAAATAAACGTGAACAGTAGCAGTAATGAGTCAGATTATGTTATTGCATAATTTCCTATCTCATTTGTCTTTTAATTCCTTTTCTCTCTAGTTTCCACATTTGTTTGGGTCTATCAAGATGTTATTGAAACATTGGAAGGTCTGGTGACGGTGGCGAAGTGGACACCTTGCAATAAAATTTCAGTATTGGCAGAGAGAGTGATACTGAAGATTCTTGTGCTACCGTTTAATTTGTGGTTGCTTCACATCTTCGAGAAGATAGCAACAACATGTGGTGGAGCATTGGAGGATGTTAACACTTCTGACCTGTATGCAGTGAAGATTATAGTTGCAGGTGCTAGGCCAGTGAAAGTTGTCCACTTTTTCTAAGTCATCTCTTGTTTTCACATTTGTTTGGGTCTATCAAGATGTCTAGTTTAGAGTTTAAAAGTTGTTAGCTTGCAAAGCATTGGAAACATTCTTTTTCTTCAAATAAAAAAACTATAAAAGGAGTAACTCAGCTACTCAGCTTTTGATACGGATGTTTGTCGCTCTTATTCTATTCCTTCTATGAGTAGTTTTTTTGATATATAATAAATCACATTTCATTAAAATCACGAGGAGATTACAGACCCTTGGGGAGGCACAAGTTGCTGCATCTCCAAGACATGGAACCCACAAAAATGAACCAAGAAAAACTAAAACAAAGAACACATGCTTGCTACTATACCGCTATACAATTACAATTTAGCCCAAAACAGTGTATCCCTAACTGTCCCTTGTTTTGCCAAAGTATCTGCAAGGGCATTCGCTGATCTCCCCACCCATTGTACTATAACAGTCATGTTTCTTGTCAACCAATTTATATCTCTTGAGCTCATTCTTGTAGATCCAAGCGACCTCCTCTGAACTATTTAGCCACCCACCACTATCTTAGAATCCCCTTCAATCAACAACTGCTCCACTCCCAAATCTTTTGCAAGAACTCCTTGTATAACAGCTAACAATTCTGCTCTAACAGAATTCCCAACTCCCAAAGGGCCAGATAGAGAAGAATGACTTCTCCATTCTCATTTCTCAGAACTCCCAAATCAGAGGGACCTGGGTTGCCCTGGCTGCTCCCAACAAGGTTCCGTTTCAAAAAACCTTGTGGAGGGGGGCCCAGTTTGTGAAAACCCTATCTGTTCAGAATGAGCAGCTTGCTACTACTGTCCAAATAAGGAGAAAAGGATGGAACAGTTCCATAGATTTTAACTAGTGTATTACTCTACTCATGATGCAATCCTTCAAGGCCTGGTTGCTCCTTTCCTTCTCGTGGAATATTCTATTATTCCCTTCTTCCAAAACTGTCCAATTCAAAGCTGCTCGTCTCTACATACTTCTTCCTCTTTTCTGGGGCCAAGAGAAGGTAGACGGGTTGAAAAACAAGTTTATTTCTGATGGTGTCTCCCACCTGCACCCAAATAAGGAGAAAAGCCAAACCCAAAGCTATGCAATGACATCACAAGAAAGAAATAAACGATAACAGTCCTCACTGTGAGATCTGCAAAGAGTGCACCAGTTTGGAGAGATACAGAGAAAGGGTCTTCTCTTTTGTAGGTTATCCAAGGTGTTAACTTTCCCATGGCACACTTCCCAACAAAAAGCCATTACCGTAGGGGGGACTGGCCTAAACTAGACTTCTTTAGTAGGGAAGGCCTGTTGAGAGGAGGTGTTGCAAAGTACATAAAAAAGGAACCACAAGAAAAGAACCCTTTGGGGTTAGGAGTCCAGATTCTTTTATCTAGAAATGAGGGATCCAACCACACTTTATCAAGGAGGCAAAGCAAGTTTAACAGAAAATCAACTTCCTCATCTCTTAACCCTCTACGAAAACCAAAGTCCCAAGCCAAAGCCTACAGGTTTAAAGGAGAAGGAAGGAAATTTGAGATACCTCATTTTTATACAACGAAATATAAAACAAGGAGGGAAAAGAGTACCAGAACAAATATCATACCTGACACAATTGAGGAATTGTGGGAGGATTTTATGGATTGCCTTCCAAGGTGTTGCCAAGTTATCCCTGCTTGATGCACCAGCATCCTGTCCATTCTCTGAGCAACCATGAATACTCTTCACTACTTCATGCCAAAGTCTCTCTCTCCCCAAAGGCCACCTCCACAACCACTTCCCTAGATAGCCACATTCTTTTTGATCACATTCCCTAAACCTAAACCCCCTTCCTCTTTTCTTCTACCCACAATCTCCCATCTGACCAAATGATCTTTTATGCCTTCTCCCGGTTCCCAAATTAAGTCTCTCATCAACTTCTCTAGCTTCTTTGCTCCCCTAGGCAATATCCTAAAGGTAGTAATTAGGTAGGTTGTGAGAGTAGCTCTTATCAAAGTGACCCTTCCACCCAAAGAGATGTAATTTTTCTTCCAAACCGCTAACCTCTTCTCAAACTTCTCTATGACTAGGGTCCAGAACCTACTCTCCCTAGGATTTGCTCCTAACAGAAGCCCTAAGTAGGACATAGGCCAGGAGGAAGTAGAGCAACCAAGACAAAGTGCAATAGCCTCAACCTCCTCATTTTCTAAGTTGATCCCCACTATGCATCTCTTTTCCAAGTTGATTTTTAAATTGGAGATTTTTTCAAAGGCTTTAATCAACTCCTTTAAGTTCCCCACCCTCTCACTAAAGCCTCCATCATAGAAAATCATTAAATCATCTGCAAACTAAAGATGGATAACTAGAACTTGGTTTCTGCCTATTCTCCAACCCCTTATGGCATCTTCCCTATCAGCTCTAGTGATGATTCGAATGGATACGTCAGCTACCAAGGTAAGTAGGAAGGGTGAAAGGGGATCCCCTTGTCTAATACCCCTACAGCCTAGAAAGAAGTCCCTTACCACTCCATTTACTAGGATAGAATAGTGACAGCTACTGACACAACCCATCATCCACCTACACCACCTTTCCCCAAACCCACATTTCCTCAACACCTCTAATAGGAATTGCCAATCCACCAAGTCATAGGCTTTCTCTAGGTCTAGCTTACATACAAATCCTCTTTTCCTGACTCTCTTCATATCCTCCACACACTCATTTGCAAGCAGGATCTGATCAATTATCTGACATCCTCGAATAAAGGCCCCTTGAGTCTGACTAATGATGGAGGGGAGGGCTTCTTTAATCCTTAGAGAAAGAACCTTTTCTAGTATTTTATAAACACTTGTCACCAAGCTAATTGGCCTGAAATCCTTTGGATGGATAGCATCAGAATTCTAAGGGATTAAGGCCAAGAAAGTAGCATTGATACCTCGACTAACCACATGCTTATTTGCAAACTTCTTAAACACATCACAA